TTTCTGCCAGGTGACAATGAAAGTCTAAGCTCCTCAAATGGTATCTACTGGTGTGTGTGTGTGTGTGTGTGTGTGTGTGTGTGTGTGTGTGTGTGTGTGTTGTGGCGGGGGTTGGGCACTTAGGAGCCTTGTTAGGTAACTGTGGGTGGATGTCCTGGTTTTCTACTTGTTTTGAACCATCCTGGGAGATGCTATGGATACTTTTCTCAGCCTTGCTGGGGTGGATATCTAGGTTCCCTACTTGGCCTTCTCTAGTGTGGCTGTGTGTAGGAGCACTTTTTTTTTCCTATAGCTTTTGGCTTGTGTTAATATCTAAAAGTTTTTGTCTTGTCAGGTACTTTAACTCTCTTGATGATGTATGAGCCAGAAAGAAAACCCGTTTTATTTTCTCCAGGATCTAATGTTCCTAATCTATTCTGGTTTATTTTCTCCTCATTTCAAGAAACTTCTTAATGCTCATGTTATGTACAATATAATATCAAGGCTTTTAGTTATACTTGCTAGGGATAGGAGAAATTTTTGTCTACTCCAGTCCAAGGATGCTTCTTTTTTTTTTGAAACATACCTAATTTATGGATTTATGTTAACCTAAAAGTAGAATAAATCTAAATATTGTAATTATGAGGATTTTCATATTCTGGTGTCACAAGTAGTATCTATAATGATAACTTTAGGAACTTCCAATAAAATATGACCAATTGGAGTTTCTTTTAAACATGAGATCTATGATACTGGAATTCAACATTCTATTCTTTTCTACATTCTATTTTAAATCATAAATAATCTTGTGCCCAGGATGTATTACTAACATATGTTTTTCAAAATGTGATGTTTTGTTTTAGATACAGTTGTTGCTTTTGGAGATAGTAAAACTGTTCTTTGGTTTATTTATTTATTTGCTTATTTATTTTTGTATTTAGAACAGGAGGTATAGGGTGTACAGGGTCTCACTGTGTAGATCGGACTGTTTACAGCTGATAAAACAGTAGATTTACTGTATACAGCCTCCCAAGAGCTGGGATTACAAGGAGCGAGTCACCATGCCCAGTCTCAATGTCTCAGTGCGCCCCAGAGGTGGGGCTAGCACCACAGGCCAGAGGATTGAACCCCCAGCCCCTGTGTCTGCTTGCAGGTGCTTTAATCTGCTGAGCTATTTGACCTGCCCTGGTCTTTGGTTTAAAGAACGCTATCATTTTAGTGTCATTCTGCAGTAAGGAACACTTGTATCTAACAAAGGAAGAAGAGACTGGTGTGATAGACGTTAAACACATTTGTTCTTTCACTGCAAATGACTAAAGGACTACAAATGAGTTTAGCAGGTCATGAATTAGTACATTCTAATCAAACTTATTCCTGGATAAACTCTTCACATTTTTAAGGACAAAATATCTTTTTCTTAAAAATTAAAAAAAATCACTTTATTTATTTATTTATTTATTTATTTATTTATTTATTTGGTACAGGGTCTTGCTACACAGTTCAGACTTATAGTGATCCTTCTGTCTTAGCTGGGATTACAGGCATGCCCTGCCATGCCCGACATGGCATGTAGTACTGGGGTTTGAACCCAGGTCCTCACGTTTGCTTATACCATTGAGCTATCTCCCCAGTCCAAGGACAAAATATCCTTGGAAAGTATACCATGCTTTGGTTTTGGAATAGTTTATCCCAATTAAAAGGCTATGTCTTCCAAGAAAAAAATGAGTATTTCTAAGTAAAAGTTGTGCACGGATGATTTGAAATGTTCACATTTGATTACTAAGTCAAATTTGTCTGAGTGAATTTATAGTTCTGCAGCTTGCTTAGAATTTACCCAGTGTATTCTAAGATTAAAGTAAAAGAATATTTAATGGAAAAAACAGGACAAAAAAACCCCCTCACAAAACAAAACAAAGTAAAACTGTAAAACAAAACAAAACAAAGAAACAAACACTGAATGATGCTTCATTGAGTGTTACCTTGAGAATGTCCTGGAGGGGCCTTTTTTTGGTCCTGCCTCAATAGATGAATCATTTGTTTCCTTCTCATTCTCTCTTTTTGTTATGTGGAATTTTATGGCCCACTTTCAGTGTAGCAATTTAGATCTCAGTTGCAGTATCCTGATAGCTAAGAATCCTGTTCTGTATTTCAGCTTCCCAAATTAGGTTTTCTTTTTTTCCCCTAAAAACCATTAATGTAAATGACAACATTGAGCTATGAATCCAATCCACCAATCACCAAAACTATGTGCCTGACTATTCATTGAGCTTTATTTTGTCATATAATCAGATTAGAAAATAACATATGAAACTTTTAGAAATTTCATGAGTTTTTTTTGACAACTTGTTTCTAATACTGAGAAGGTCCTAGAGCCTGTGTTTGTACCTCATACACACTGCAGCTCTCCTGTCAGTCCACTCACTGCTGTGCATCAGCAGCCACACGCACACTGCTCCCACTCTCCCGTCCACTAGCATCATTGCTTCCTGGGCAAGTGTGTGTTCAGATCCCTGATGCAGACTGCGGGCTTCTCCTGTCATGCTGTACTTCATCCCGGTCAAGGCACCAAGAGTGAGCTTGAGTTACACAGCGTCCTTCGTCTCTGGACCTAAACAGGTTCATTCCAGACACTTTATAAACAGCTCCCATGGTTGCAACAGGTCAGTTTCCTGTAACAAATCATTTCTTCTACTCCGTGTGTATCTATCTCATTTGCTGAAACATATGCTGACATCTCAGTAGTTATTCTCTGGTGCCATCTTGACTGCTAGAATGATCTTCAGCATTATCCCAAATTTTCAAATATTATGATTCTCACTCATTAAAATAAATGAAAGAATTACCAGATTGCTATTAAATATAAGGTTAACTAGTTCTGTCATCAAAAACAAATTCTGATGTACTGGATCTGGTGTAGAGAATCTCCATTTTCCATAGGCAACAGATTTGGTACCACACTTGTTAAAAAGTTTTATTCATTTTAATGAAAAAAGAGATAAAATAGCAATGAAACAGTTTCAAAACAGGTTAGTAGGACAATTACAGGAATTAATATATTGCATATTGTTATCTTCATAGTAGTTATTTATAGGACAAGATGCAGACATGATATCTGTCTAAAGAATATTAGTACAAACCTTTCTTCTCTTTGAACTAAGGGAAAGTAGCCATATATTTATCCTATCTTGTACACACACACACACACACACACACACACACATTTTCACTAAAAAACAGTACTTTATTTATATTTTATTTTTTGTTTTGTTTTGTCAGAGATGGATGTCCCATTGCTGTTAGAGAAGCTGTATTTGGCGAAGTATTTAAAGGGTCTTTTCATACTTGATGCCAATCCAAAGATTGTAGGTACTTGAATTTCGCAAAATAACCCAACATAGTCCAATAGTCCATAATAGTAGTGAGTTATCAGCACAGCTGGCAATTGTCTAAAGTTGCTGACTTGAGCCTTTTACAACTCGGTGTATTAATATAGCTTTACTTTTTATACCTTGTGGTTACATTTTTCTGCCGGATGGTTAAGATCAAGTTAAAGCAAGTTAACTTAGAAGTTATATATAATTTTTATATAACTAAAAATGTAACTTTTGCTATCTGATAAGGTCAGTCAAATCCCCTCAGGATTTACCCTGGAACCGTGTAATACACCTTGTGGATCTTTTGTCACTGTCAGCCATCTGGATGAGTCAGGGCCATTGCTTGACTAATCTGTTCTTTGTGAAAGCCTGAGAGAATTTTTTCTCTCTATCAGTACCTCATTTTGAGCAAACACACACCAGTGAACGTTATGTCACATTTTGGGATACATTTTATTGAAATTAAAATTTTTGAATAACAGAATTTTTTTTTTTCATCGCTAGTCATGTTAAAACCAAATCTAGGTGACTTTATCCAGTAAGCATTGACTATTGATTATTGATTACTTGTTATATGTTAGAAATGTGTTCCACAGTGGGACTGGGTATTAAGTTATCTAGTGAAAGGACAAAGTAGTGTGTATGCTGGAGTCTTATTAAATGCTATTAGATTTCTTTGTGATCTAATTATTAGTGAAATTTCTGACAATGTTTTTTATTTATGTATTTATTTATTTATGTGTGTGTGTGTGTGTGTGTGTCCAGCTCAGCCCACCAGGGGGTGGGGCTGGCTGGCATGTGGTGCTGGGGGATTGAACCGTGGCCCATGTGCTTTGCTAAGCTTGTTCTAAGTAGGTGCTTTAGACCACTGAGCCATCTCACCAGCCCCTCTGACAATGTTTTAAGAAACTTTCTGAATTTTGAAAGCAGGTTCAAGTATGAAGGAAAGTTCAAATTGACGAGATAGGGTGATTCTGCAGTTGCCATCCTGGGCATCCAAAAATGTACTACATAAAAATATTTAAAAATGAAAGGCTAATATCAAATTATTTTTCATATAAAACTTTAAAAAACAATGATTAAATAGATAATGGGCATGTTGGTATATGCCTTACCATTATAGAGTCTCTTACTAAGGCAAAACGGCAGTTAGAGACCATGTTGATTAACCTATTTATTTTATAAATGTCAAAACAAAGCCCAAAATGTTGGATATTTTCCCCAGGTTTCACTGGTAATATTTTAGCATAGCTAAATTTAGTCTTCTAATCTGTTTCTGCTTTAATGTCCCATAGTAAAATATTGGGTCTTCTTTTTAGCACTCTATGAAATTTTCATGGTATATTATTTTGAATTATATCATCTTTAATATAATTCCTTAACTATCCTCATATTGTCTTCACATTTTCTGGCATTAAAATTTTTATCTTTAAGCCTAATCAGGTAAAAGTAAGATTTTCCGCTCATGGATTTGAGATTTTTTTCTGATAGGGGACTGTTCCAGATGGCTCCATATTAAAATGCAGTATCAATAGTACTAGAAAATAAAAATAATTTAATTTTTAAGATTGATGATACAAATAAGTTTGTATCATGAGGTTTTTAAGAAAGTGGATGGAAATATTTGCATTTTCTTCTTTTTTGCAGCTGGATTCTGATGGCGTCATTACTATAGAGGAGCAGATTATCCTTCTTAAGAAAGCTAAAGTGCAGTGCGAACAGAACATCACAGCCCAGCACCAGGAGGGAGGCAAGTGTGGTTGGAAAGCTGTTTCCTTTGTGCTTTTTCGCCCCAGTCTTTACTAGAACAGAGCTTTCCTCCTTATTCGTTGTTTGACAGATCCTCATCAGTTATTCTCCATTTTCATGTCGAAGGCCTTTTTCTTTTCTCTATCCTACTTGCTCTTTCCTCCTATTTGGAAGATATGACTTGCTCAGTTAGTGAGTTTGGAAATAGTAATGGGCATGTGCATGTCAGACCTACCTTGGGGATCTGTCTGTGGGATCATGTATACAGTTTTGTCCTCTGTCATGCAATGAACTTGGATGTGGAGGCCCTGTCCCTGTGGGGATTGACTGTGGTTATAGGTGGTAAACTCAGTTCAGAGTAGTAAGTAAGCAAACTCACTAATGTGCAACTAAGCCATGTTCTACAGAAAAAGTTTTGCTATTAAATTGATAATTACATTTCCATTTATCTGACTATGCAATCTGTAAATTATTTCTGAATTCAAGTGGGAAGTGGAATTGTTCACGGAGCTCCTTGAATTTCCAACAAACTAAATGAAGCACCAAGTGTCCTTAAAGTTAAGCTCCTATAATAAAATATGCATTTTATATATTCTTCATAGTGATTTTCTAATATTAAACCATGTTGGTGATTGATTTTTATGATCTGAGAATGTGCTTTGTATGCTATTGATTTAAAAAAATATTTAAGGTTAAGAAGGTAGCTCAGTGCTAGAGCTCTTGTTTATCATATACAAGGTCCTAGGTTTAAAATCTACCCACCCCAAAAACATGTTGAAATTTACTGTAGCTAATTTTTTTTACTGTAGTTAATTTTGACAAATGTTTTGTGTTCTACTTGCAGGAATATGTATTTTCTTGTTTTGAGTATCTTGTTTTAAACAGTCCTCTAAATTAAGGTTACTAGTTTGTGGTTTGTATGTTCTGTATTCATAAGGAATTTAATATGTTTGATCAATTCTTTCCTGTAATATCTATCTTAAAATATAATCCTGTAAGGATGAGTTTTGCACTGAAAAAATCATTGTAGGTGCCAGCGTCCGCCGCGCCGAGGTGCGTGGGGTGGCACTCGACGTCTACCTGTTGGAGACGCCTGGCTCTCCCTCCATTTAGGCTGATGGCTCAAGGCGCTTGGCTCGACGAGATCTCCAGGTTATATGAGGAACCCACTCAGTGCTGGGTTTTTGCCTTTTGTTATTTTTGTGACCTTTCGCGCCAACCCTAGGAGGGGTTGCTTTTTAAGTCAAGACCTCTTTACAAGTTCCTAAGTACTCGGATGTCCCGAAGGGTGAACATGTTTCTCTGACAGCTCTTGGGGACTCCAGTATAGAGTTTCTGACTTTGTTAAGGTAGGGCGGTGGGCTGGTTGAAAAAACAAATGCTTTGGGATCCTGTTTTCCTTCTCACTTCAAATATGTTTACTGAAGACTGGGTGTGAGGGTGCACGCCTATAATCCCAGCTCTTGGGAGGCTGTAAACAGGTGGGTCACTATGAGTTAGAACTAGTAGTGAGACCCTGAACACCCTGTAGACCCTTCCTTAAAAATAAAAATAAAGAAGTTTACTGAAAAAAAAGAAAAAAATCATTGTATTTTTACTTCATATTTTTTATCAGTACATGTTAGCAGTAAATAATGATTACATTCATTGTGAGGAGTTGGTAGCATAGAAAATATATCTTAATTATGTTTGTGTCCCTTTATCCTCCTTTCTCTACTAGTTGTATTTTCCCTATACTTTCCCATCCCCCTCCTTCCATCTCTTTTTTCCTGTTATTTTTTATTTTGATTTTAATTTCTATTTTGAGTTTCTCATGTAAGAGAAACTGCAATATTTAAGCTTGTGTGTCTGATTTATTTCACTTAACATTATGGTCTTAGAGTCATCCATTTTACTATAAATGATTCATCTAACCTTCCTTATGACAGAATATTGTATATTGTGTGTAAATACCACATTTTCTTTATTTGTTCATCTGTTGATAGACATACAGACTGCTTCTAAGATATAGCTGCTGTGAATTGTGTTCCTACAGACATGGGCATGCCTGCATCATGGTAGCATGATGATTTTCACTCTTTTGGGAAGACAGCTACAAGGGGAATACCTGGTCAAATGGAATTTCTAGTTTTGGTGTTTTGAGGACTCTCCATACTGATTTCCTATAGTTCCACAATTGGCTGCGGGTGGTCAGCTGCAGGTGATGAGAGTCAGCAGAGATCCCTTTATTGCAGATATTTTGAAACTATGTTATAAGGTATATACTAACTTAGAAATGTTATATTTTCTGTTTAATCAGCCTTTTGCTAATATCAAGTGGTCTTCTTTATCCCTAGGAGTGTTTTAAGTATCAAAATATGTATAGTTAAGCTGCTATATTAAAAAGCATTAATAACATTAGTTTACTTCTTTCATGGTATTTGCCAGGGATAAGTTTTCTAATCCTTCAAAATGTTTCAATTATAATAAAATACATATAAACCAAATTTACCATATTAACCATTTTAAATGTACTATTCTGTAATTTTTTTTGATACCAGGGATTGAATTTAGGACCTTGTGCTTTCTAGGCAGGTGCTTATGCACTGAATTTTTCTCCCCAGCCCCTGTAATGTTAAGTATATTCATATTATTGTTCAGTGTCAAGAAATTTTTCATCTTGCACAATTAGCATTCTATAGAGCTCACTAAACAGCTGCTCCTTGTATCTGCCCATCTTTTCATTAAACTTTTCATATGCAGTCATACCTTGTTTCACAAACTTAATTCATTCCACAATTATGGAAAAGATGACTACATTCACGTTCCTGGAGGAAAGATGGTGGAGGGTGTGTTTATCACCTCATGCAGAGTTCACAAACAAAAACAAAATTTTGTCAAATGCCTCTGTTTGCAAATCAAACTGTTCACAAATAAAAGTGTTCGTGAACAGAGGTACCACTGTTTAGCTTTTTGAAGTATCATTTGAAAGCTGGACATGTGGGCTTATTGTCATTCATTCTGATAATTTCTTTCTATTAAATGAAGAGCAAGTCCAGTCCAATTATATAAGTTGTGATTATGCATATGACATATGTATTAGCCTCTCTCTCTCTTTGTCTCTCTCTGTCTCTCTGTCTCTGTCTCTGTCTCTGTCTTTGTCTCTCCTCTCCTCTCCTCTCCTCTCCTCTCCTCTCCTC